CTATCGGCAGCGGTCGCTTCGCCATTTCAGCGGATTCATGTGGCTGCTTGCTGGTTTGCCACTTTATGATATAAAAAAAACAGGGCGGACTTCTGGTGGCATCGATAAAAAATGATAGACCATGTGATTTTAAAAACGGCGAAGTTTGCATACAACCGGTGACATATCTTGCAAATGCGTTTCAAGGAAAAAATTTAAGTGACAATAGTTTGAAATTCAAACTTGGTTATCGTATTCGAAACATATTTATTATGATTCCTTTTGACATAGTTAAGCTGTTTAGTGTCTGTTATTTAAACAAGGCTTCGTTTTTCACATTTTTTAGATATTATCTGTACAGTGACGTACATTGTTAAATTAAATTAATAATTATGTCATCAATTAAATTGTAACATTTTTCGATATGGCTATCGAATATTTTTTTTCTAAGCTCTATTAAGTTCTGGTCGAAATGTTTTTTTGCTAAAAGTCTTAATTAATAATATAACCATTACATCCTAATATACTAACTAAATAATAAAAAAAAACTAATACGAGTGTAATTTTAATGTAGTGCAGTATGTCACCGATCGATTACGTTCTTCGCCAGTTAAATTATTGTCTATAAATCGTCAAAATAAAACAGAACATTAGCATTCTATCGTTTGTCCCAAGGTTTTATTTTTTTACTGCTGGTACAGAGGTAAAACATAAGTAATCATTTTTTACACAAGTTTTGTAGCAGTAGAATAATTTTATAAAGAGGAAAGATTTGTATTTTTGTATACATTTAATAAAATAACTTAAAAACTACTGGGCCGATTTTAAAAATTCAGTCACCGTTAGAAAGGTAATTTATCTGTGAGTAACATAAGCTAATTCTAATGTCACGCAGGCGAAGTCGCGAGCAACAGCAAGTATAAAATAATAGTTAAAATTGAAGAATTTTTAAAATTGAAGAATTTAGGCCTAATTTAAGTCCCTTTCTCTTTACCACCCTTTTCTTATAAAAAGAGGATGGGATGGGGATGTGGATTTGACGGTGTAGGAGACGCGACGCATACGAAGGGGATATATCCTCTTTATGTGCGTCTCCTCCTCCGTCGGATAAAGGTAGGTAACGCATCTGCAATTGCGGATGTCTATGGGCAGCGGACGCTTCGCTATTTCGGCGGAATCAGATGGCCGCTTGCTCGTTTGTCACCTTATGATAAAAAAAAAAAGAAACAGATATTTTCTGGCCGGTCTGGAGTCGCGAGAAGTAGCTAGTTCTTAATATCTAGTCTAATTATAAGGTGTCATGTATCGTAAATTCGGGTCATTGGGCCGACGATTTATCAAGTGTTATCTTTTGACACTATATTGTATGTTTATATTTTCTTACAATTTTCGATAATAAAAATGCAATAAATTGCTTTGTTAATTTTATATTGCAGTTGCACTTGTATAATACTAGCGTACGTCCGCGACTCTGTCCGCGTGAATTAAAAAGAACAAAAGTAAGTAGCCTATGTGTCCATCCTGAATATCTTCTACATCTGTGCAAAATTTCATTCAGATCCGTTCAGTTGTTTAGGCTACAAATTCTAACAAACATCCATCCATCCTAACCTTTACATTTAAAATATCAGTAAGATGTAGAATTTGCAAAATTTGCTAGAAAACTATAGCTAACCATAACGGCTCAAAGTATATCGATGGAATGTGGCACAGATGTAAAGAATAGTCTCGAAGAACACAAAGGTACTAGGCTTTTTACGTTCCACGCAGACAAAGTCACGGGCAAAAGCTGTCTACCTATTATATAAAAGCGTGAAGCGTCATTGACAAACTACAAGGAATGTTGATTTTACGCCAAGCGAATCAAATTTAATAAAAACATTGTAGAAGACGTAAAGATAATGTTCTCACGAATATTCGCAATATTTCTCAGTAAAACGGTTGTTCATAGTTGTTACTAACGCATTGAGGATGTTTATACAACAGCAATATAACTTTCCCCACAAACAAACTCCATATCTTATAGAGGATTAGTTTTTGTTTGGATTTATTTGCATATGTTCAGACCGGTCTTAAACATTGTTATCACAAGATCTTATAAACAGTTTGATGTCAGAGAAATTATAAGGACGCATGCTAATAATATTTCGCGTGAAATAACACACAACAGTAATATAGCCTATAGGTTAAGCAAGGTAGGGGGCACAAGTCTGTGAAGTTCTCTCGAATAACAAAAGAAAGTGTCAAAATCTCGCCCTGGGCGCTAGTGGTGGCTAAGAATGCTATCACATCTTACTTTTAAAACTATGGGCGTCGCCATGATGATGGAAAATGGGACACGCCTATTTAAGGATAGTAATACCGGTGTGAAATAGTCTTTACAATTACACTCAAGGCCGGGAACCTTGATGAATAATATTTATCAACATTTACGTAATCGATGATAGCACGCTGTAGAATGTCAAGTTCAGGATTTTGTTGAAATTTTTTTAGTTAAATCGTCATTACAACAATTTCCTTCTACAGTTTTGACAAACCTTGGCAATCTTGCTTCCTTGATGTTGACAACAACTTATGGTCTCTCTCCCACATTAGGGTTTTAATCCAAAATATATACCCCTAAATTTAACGGCGTGGAAATATAAACCTAAAGCGTGACGTAAGTGTAGGGCTTTTTATTAAAAAAGGAGCTATTCGAAAATATGCTGTGATTGCTGACATCGGCAACAAAGAAGTGTGTGTTTACGCTTTATTATAATAGTATAGATATAGATTTCACGTACCGTTTTCTTTTTTTTTCGTGCCGCTAGTCCGCTAGCGATATTAGTCTTACAGGAAGGCCTAGATAAAGATCTTACGTGGACATAGTGAAGCTGGAAGTGCCCATTTAATGATAGTTAAGGAAGTTATGATTAAAAATGCTAAATTGATTCAATCGATGATTACTACGACGTGGGCGCGTCGGCCGCACACTGTCTTGTAGTTCTTCGACCCGTGTTTTAGACTGTTTTAACAATGCTTAATAAACATTGTTTCTGGGTGGTCTATCGCATAGACTGTTATAACCCCAATAAGGTAGAGGTACTAAGTATAGATAACCTACAATTACATGTCGTTTCGGTAATCAGTCAATGTGTTTTAATTAACTAATTACAAATAAACTTTCTGTGAAATGCATTCCGGTAATTTCTAAAGACTAAAAGCTTACTTTTAAAAGTGTGGGTTTTAATTGTAAGAAAAAAAAGCGCCATCTTTTGGTTCTAATTAGTTAGTTGTCATTTAAATAGCGCCTGTAGCAATAATTTTACATAGTTACACATACAAGATTTGTTGCTAAGTGAATCGCACAGGCGTATTCTTATAATTTGACAATAAAACAAATTAAGATTTGTAAATTAAAGAACCAATTCTAAGCTATGATACTGCGGAAATTTAATTTTGTCCCCCTTTTGTGGTTCAGATGTGATTATATGTTTAAAATACAAAGAAGAAAAAAAGTTACGTAAATAATTATTTTTCTTCAACTACTAAGTATAATGTATTTTATTGATAAACAGCCAATTACATTTATTTTTCTAGTAATTAATGACCTTAGTAATAACGAGTTGAATTTACTAGCTGTGTTAGTTTGATGCCATCTTTGTCGTCTTCTCCATTTCAAACAGAAAAGATTATAATATTAAATTGTAACTTTCTTCTAAACGTTATACAGACTTAATTCTAGTTCCTAGTGTTTAAGTAGCGTACAAAACCACACAAATACTATAGAAGTCTGAGAATACCAAAGCAGTACAGCAGCTAACACTTTTACCGCTAAACTGTAAGGGATACATAAATAAGACGTGCCATATTATAAGAGAATTTTGATCTTGGATGCTGTCCGCCAAGAAGATGAAGTAATTCTATAAATAAACGATCTTTGTTTGCTTTATTTACAGAAATGCTTTGTTTGAAATAAATGTTATTCTTAAAACAAGACAATTAAATAAGCATTATAAAACTTAAGACACTAAAAACAAAAAATTCTCAAAAAACAGTACACTAAAAAGTAACGACATAATTCCTTGAAAAAAGTAGCCCTCCCTTATTGTAGCTGTTATGTCTACATTGTACAATTATTATTACTTTGATGTCGGTGTCAGCCGAGGTATGCAGTGATATTTATACGTAAGGCTTTCTACATTTGTACCATAACAATTGACAATAAAAAGTATAGTAACGTTTAAGTAATGAATCTACATTGACTGACACCGACTTGTTTTTAGTCAGTGACAGCGTGCACACATCTGAAATTAAACTATCGCACGACTGTTTAGTCTTGCTCTGATTCCAATAAGTAAACTTATAATACACGTCCACCCAATTTAACTATTTACTTGCACAACTAAAAATCGAGGAGCGTATGCTCCATACTTATAAAGATGCGTTATACCGTTTTTTAGTTGTGCAACTAAACAATTGAATTGGATGCGGTACAACCGACAATCGCACAACAGTTTGGCGATAGTTAAAAGTGTGCGCCCGCTCTAATAGAATCTATGGTGTAAATGATACATTCAGTTAGAAAATTTTAAATGTGTTTGCCAAAACATCGTTAGACGGCGTGGCGTTATGAAATAGAGGAATTGGCCCAACACCAAAGGTCACATTTTATGTAGATAATTATTAACATATTTATATAGTTTTGATCCTAACGTGTTCTTCTGTAAAAGAAAGTAGATAGTTAAGATGAGTAAAGCATCATCACCAGTCTAACCAAGGGGTTGGTAAAAACCCTTTTTTTTAATTCCACAAAAAGTAAAGATAAATCGTTTTTAGTTATCTGTAAGAGTCTGATTTTGTAGCATTAATGTTTGTTTGTTAAAGTTTACGTTTTTAATTAAGATTTTTGATATCTGAATCAATATGAAGATACTGTTTGGTGAAAAGCTGCCCTTAATGTCGTCATTGTTTTCGTAGCCGATTTGGCCGCGTGTTAGCAATTTCGTTCCTATTTGGCAAACCGCCACATCTAAAATAATAACGCTCGGTAATACCGTTTGTAGCGAATCCAATGAACCTTTTATTAGGTAGCCATAACTAATGTGTTTTGGAAAACCGCTATGTATGTCGAACAATGCTGAAGATTTTGATATACGTTACCGACATTGGTAGGAGAGTTGCTGTACACGCTTTTCCGATCGTAAATATGACACGCACACTAAACAAAATTATCGCTAGTAGGAAAAATTATTTCCCGCAACAGTATTGAGTAATCACAAATAGAAGAAAAGCTTTTTTTGATGTGTTTTGTCAGTGATAGAAAATATTTACGAACATACGTATGCAACTAAATGATTAGAATAAAAAAATTAAACCCTGTTTATATTTTTTTAGGCTTTAAAATTACAAAAATCATAAAAACACCTAAATAGAAGCCTTACAGCATAACCAAAGTGACATTAAAATAAATTTATTTAAGCGATTTGACGACACGTCTGTTTAGTGTGCGCTGACCCGAACGTGACTTTGAAAATACCACATACAGCTTTATTCAGTGTTAATGCGTACATCGCGCGTGCGGCGCGCTCGAGACCATGGTGTGCGAGACCATAGAGAAAGAAGACCAGCTCCCGTTCGACGAGGCCTTGGAAAAGACCGGTAGTTAATAGACCATCTTACGTTGAAAGTGTAAAACGAAAGTCATGTCTTTGTGTCTGTTGTTATTGTCTTGAATTGAATCCTAATCGATTTATCAGAATTTTCCTTGTGTTAAGGGAATACAATGTTGAGGTATCAAATACAATATTATTTTTTACCAATATTATTTTAAAAAGGTTTAGATGGATTTAGTTGTTTTGCACAGATATTAACATAGTCTGAATACAGGCTACTTAATAAGATTTTTCTTATTTCTGTGAGGATGAAGTCGCAGGTAAACGCTAGTTAATATTTTCTATGAATCTATGCTTTCTTTGTTCCTTTACAAAATGCACTTATAAGAAAACAATTTTTTTAAGAAAAATAAAACCTATCATTTTTGTAGACTTCTAAAAAAATTCAAATAAATGAAAGAAGAAGAGATGAGATTCCGTTAATTAATTAACTAATCTAAATCCCATAAAAATGAACAAAAGGCGTCTGGTTTCCCTTACAAGTGTGTTAGATGTCAGGTAAAACCATTTCAGTTAATGTCTATTATGAAGCCTTGGCAATTACACCGCACAGTCATTATTCAAGAATACCACTTGCTATTGATCCAATTTCTATCTAAATCTGAGCAAAGCTCTTGAGAATGACGTATAATACGTCTAATAATATGAAGATCGATGATATGATATGATATCAGAATATAATTGATATCTTGTAATTGCCAAGGCTTCATAATAAACACTAAATAAGTTGACTAGGTTTAACATGACATCTTACGCATTTTTGTAAGGGAACGTGAACGAGAACGAGACTCGACAGTCTTTTGTTTATATTTTTTATGGGATCTCACTTCTTTTTGAGTTGTTAGTTAGTTATGAATGTGGAGGGGTACATCGGTAGAGGTAGACCTAGAAAGAGATGGATGGATTGCGTGAAAAGTGACATGATCAAGAAGGGAGTGATGGCTGATGACGGATGATAGAGTGCTTTGGAGGACGAAAACCCGGTGCGCTGACCCTACGGGAGTAGGATAAGGCACAGATGATGACTTCTTATTGGGTTGTTCCAAACAAAAATTGTCTTTTAAAACCAAATTAATTTGAACCTTTCTTTACCTCAAAATAAATCGTCTACAGGTCAAGATTGGCCATTTGTGTGAAATACTTGTATACGTTAATTTTAAAACATAGTTTAATTATATAAAAAACTTAATCAATCTCTTGTAATATGCACAATAAAACAATAATTGTGAAGGAATAATAACAAATTAAACTGTAACACTTTCTTTGTCTGATTAACACCTTTGTTCGATTTAAAATTAAATTAATTTGTTTGTTTTGACTTGACTTCATACCTGTTCAAACACATTACCTCGGTTTTAACAACTAAAACATATGGACAAAAAAAAATTTTTTTCTAAATTATTTTTGACCGACTTCCCAAAAGAAGGAGGTACTCAATTCGTCTGTATGTTTTTTTTTATGTGTGTTACGGCATAGCTCCGCCGCTAGTGGACCGATTTTGATAATTCTTTTTTTACACCGACATCAAAGTAATAATAATTGTACAATATAGACATAACAGCTACAATAAGGTAGGTTTACTATTTTCAAGGAACTATTTCGTTACTTTTTAGTGTAATGTTTTTTTTTGAGAATATTGTGTTTTTAGTGTATTTTGTTTGGAAGTCGGTTTCGGCCATATGATAAAATAACCAATTTCACAATTTAACGGTTAAAATATAAATGTATAATATTACGTATATTTTAACTGTCTATTGTATTTGGTACAAAGGTATATTAGAATTGTCTACAAGTATTTGTGGTTAGTATATAAAATGTTCTTTTTACGGTGTTTTGCCACGGTATAGAAACATGTCATCCTTTTTCTTTTCCAAAAAAACGTATATTTTACGGTCTATTTAATTCTTTAAAGAAAATAGTTGAATGAAAACCGTTAACTCTTCTATTGTTTTAAATCGTTGACAAGCCCTTGTAAACAAAATGGCTGCCATTTTTATATCTATGATAATTAAATTAGCACAATATTAAATGCATTTGATGGCCAAGTAAAACGGTTCACTTGGTTCCTTCTTCCGTATTACCCTTAAAACTAGAACATACACTTAGGATCCTTCTAGAAGAGTCCGTGCATGAATGAATTAATGAATGCTATGAAATTTAAAAATAAAACCTATGTTAGAATAACTGCTGGACTTACCAAAAAGGTTTATTAATTTCTTTGTAATCACGCTTATTTTTTTATAACATTTCCAGCCAGTCTGATTTGTTTTGTTTTTAATTATTGCTTATTTTTCTGTTGTCAGGCAATGGTATCTACAACATTCTGCTATCAGCGACTTGCGCGCTGTCATTACTGGCCATTGGTGCTGATCTGTTCGGCTTCAGTTTGGTGGTGGCGGCCGCGTGTGACCTGAACCTTACCGTGGCGCAGAAAGGAATACTCACTTCCACGCCTTTTGTAGGTTAGTGCACTAAAATGCGAATGGCATTAAAGTATTCCTTGAATACTTCATTTTGTCTGAAATAAGAATGTTGTGATCACAGTCATTGTGCTAGTATAAGATGCCAGTGCACAATGTCTTAATGTAACTGACGTTACGTAGTTAAGGTCGGCTTTTACTTGACTTCATGTTATTGTGTTATCATTTGTTTATATTGTAGCCAAACCGTAGCAAGCTTACTGAACATCCACGACGTGTATGGATTTTGGTTTGACAAGTCGAGTTCTCTTTTGAACGTGCCAAATAAAGTAATATCACTGTATCTTTCTCTTGTTTTTATAATAATGTAATTAACTAAGTTGTACTTACAGGTATTCTCCTGGTATCTTACATCTGGGGCTATGTTTCGGACACGCGGGGGCGGCGGGTCACACTACTCCTCTCTCTCACTTTCGGCTTCCTGCTATCCAGCGTCTGCAGCCTCTCCATCGACTGGATCTCACTGGGAGTCCTCAAGTTCTTGTCTGTTTGTTTGTAAGTTTGTGTTGTATTTTAATTTGCTGAATGTCTAAACGATCCCTACCCATAGACACCCGCGATTCAAACGCTTTGTCTACGCTTAATCGATGGAAGGCATAAAGGGAAGATTTCCCCTTGCTATGTGTCGCCTCCAACGTCAAAGCTACTTTCCCTTACCCTCCTCTCCTTAAAAGAAATGGGTGATAAAGAAAAGGACAAAAATTAAACCTCCGGTATTCACACTTACATATCAGACAAAACGCGTAATTTCTTCGATGTAATGAAAATAATATAAAACTTCCATTAAAAAAATTAAAATAATCAGTTAAATCAAGGTCTCTAATGTTGTGAATGTTGAAAACAAAAACAAAACCATTGTCCTTACGACATTACGGTCGTGCTATTGACACAAGGAATGTAAGGCTTGCTACACATGACGGCTGAAATTCATAAACGATCTAATTATTACTTTTTTGTTCTTCATTTTAAAGATAGACTCAAACTGAACTTAATACCTAGAAATAGGTGGATGTGC